TTAATTAACCCAATGATAGTTGATGATGACACAACTTAATGAAGATCGCAAATTTACGTATCCGTATTTGCTTTTGTACGAAGCATATCTCGAATAGAAGCGCATATAAACCAAAAATCGCATTTCTGTGTCATTAAAATATTACCTAGTTTGACAGACTACAGAAACATCTCTGTAATTAACGTAAGCAAAAATACTTACATGAAATTATGATGATTGAATGCACAATGCTAGTCACGCCAGAATCTGCCGGAATTCGGCTGACAACCGCATAAGGCGTTAATTCGGCAGACACGAAGTTGTCGGCTAAACGTCATAATATGGACGAGTTGATTAGCACGCCCTCTATGTTCAACGGGTGGGGGAAAGAAACATACGACATGTAGTAGTTTGCTTGATAATATACTAGTACACTCAGAATCTGGGTTCTCACCAAAAATAGATTGGTGAGGATCAATACATCATGAAAGTCATGAATATTTCATGTCAAGATAATAAATAATACAAAGATCATAAATGATAAGAAAATCTACGAAATAATTACAATTTATTGAATTAATTTAACAAGTCGAACAGATGCATATTAACAATTACATAATCATAATAAAATATTCATATAATTATATTTAGCAATTGATATATACAGAATCATTAATTGTTTTGTTTTTTTCAATGTTGAAAATTCAACTCGGGACCTTTAGTCTAAACAGCAGTCTCCAATCTTGAAATGCCTGTCAACGTAGTTAGAGACGTTTGTTGGCTTGTAGGGACTATGTAATGTAACGGCACTCGATAACTTGCTGGTCTGACTAGCGGGAAGATATCACTGTGATGTCTTTTGTGACGAGGTGGAGATATGCATGTTGGCTGGAAATGGCTGTGACTGCTGTGACCAGAGGATACAGGGATGAGTACGTCTTGTCTTCCAAATGAACTAAAGGAGGTATTAGGGTAAACGTCTTCGCTTCGATGTCGTTTCATTCTTGACACGTTTTCTTTGATGAAGTGGTCTGTTTTTTTTGGTGAGCAGCTCAATATACTTGCCATACTGAAGTCTCTGCAGACCTGTTTTGGTTTGTCAGTCCTCGAAGCAGGGTTGTATCTGTTGATGATCACCTCGAGACCGTTTTGCACCGTCTTTATAGGAGTAACCAGATTTCGGGAAGGTGGGAGAAATTCATGGTCACTGCATCTCTCTTTGGTATCGTCCGCGAAGTTTGATGATGATGAACTTGACGAGCGACTGTCTGATCTCCTATAGCCTCGAACACGGCGGCGATAGTTTCCCTCAGTGAACATTTCTTCCCACCCGGCGCTGAGTCCCCAGAAATGTCCGTGGGTCTGATCATGGATACTACGGTCAATCTTTACGAAACAGTTGTTCATCGATAGGTTGTGACGAATCGAGTTCTTCCAACTCGGGTTTTTGTCTCGATAATACGGGAAAGTTGACTTAATGTACCCATATATGTCTTTCAGTGTCGCTTTCTGATTGTGATGTGACCGGATAGCCATGATGATAAGGGCTACAAAGCTGTACGGTGGACGGTTAGCGCCATATGGATGGTTCTTGATATCATCGGTGGCGATGTGAGTGTTGTTATGATATGCGTGGAAAGCATATGTACACCGTGTGTTTGAGTAGATAACGTCAGGAAATGAAAAGTCGACATCGGGGTGGTTGGCATACATGGTCATTGCTGGTTTAGCACAGACTGGTGTGGTTTGCCGAAAAGGAACGCCTTATATACTATTTGATTTGCATGCATTTGCATCTCAATAAGTCTCGCTGTCTTCAAATCGCGACTAGACAATGGTAGTTGAGACACATTTGTTACACCTCGTTTGTCTGGTCGGCACCTTTGGTAAAACATGCCGTTTATATTTGACGTGACTTTAAACATGTCATACATACGTTGAACTAATTCCCGTAACAAACTTCAGAAGAATAATAAAAGCAACAATGGAATTTATGATGTTATTTCGTGTTTTGTTGAGGGGGAAAAACATTCGCCATGACTTGTTTTTAATATTGACAAATACATTGAATAAATAAAACCACCATATTTACAAACACGTCCATACAGTTCTACACACATTGTTTGTTTTATTTTATTTATAAATAAATAAGCGTCATTTGAGATTATACACCGAAATTTAATGTAAACATATTTTGTGTTCAAATTACTTGTACCGATTACAACTCCAGAGTCCAATAATATATAGACATATTAAACGACATACAATTACTTTCGTGTTCCTAAATGCATTCCCAAAATGTTCAAAAATAACTTAATGTTATCCGACACCGGAACGTTGGGAAACAAATACGAAACCCATAGACAACAATTACACAGCACAGACTGGTGTAATCACATAGTTAGTAGCGACGCAAGACTCTGAATGTCACACTTTGCCGACAGACGGAAATACCGACATTTCACAAGCTGTTAATAACACATGAACATTAGAATCAGCTGTGAAAATTCTAGAACGTGTTCTGTACTTTAGAACAATTTAATGTTAACTAAAATTAGAGTCAGTCGTTCAAGATAATTGTTAGGCAATATGATCAACGCTATTACTCTGCTGCCACCAACGGTCAAAAACTGCAAATATTTGGCGTTTGTGTTGGGTTCGGGTTAGACTGTAGGGTGACGGTCGATTCGTCCCAAATCACATTCGTCCCACAGGTCGATTCATCTCAAGTCGATTCGTCCCACAAGTTGATTCGTCCCAAAGTCGATTCGTCCCACAAGTCGATTCGTCAGAATTTAAGGTTAGCCCACTACTAACTCGCTAAATAAGCACAGAAAATCCAAACAACGAAC